TGTGCTGCAGGGAGCAGGGGGGTCAGTTGGGGGTGCCGTGGGGCAGGAGGGCAGTGGGCGGCGCCATGGGGCAGGGAGTGAGGCAGAGGGTCAGTGGGGGGGCGTTGTGCTGCAGGGAGCAGGGGGGTCAGTTGGGGGTGCCGTGGGGCAGGAGGGCAGTGGGCGGCGCCATGGGGCAGGGAGTGAGGCAGAGGGTCAGTGGGGGGGCACCACAGGGCAGGGGGCTCTGAGCACTCATGGGTGCTTTTCACAGCAGCCTGGGCCCATCAAGACGAGGATCGCCCCCTCCCCCATTTGGGCCAAATCAGAGCCATGGGCCCCCCCCAGCACTGACCCCACCACCCCCGGCCCGTCGGTCTCCAGGCCTCGCGCTCTCTCAGGCCCGGATGGGCCCCTGGGTCTGATCCAGGGGGCTTGGGAGGGGCTGGAGCTGGATGCCGCTGAAGTCGCCAGGCCCCATTGATCCAGCCCCGTGGAGAGAACCCCGGAGTCCGGGCTCCCAGTCCCCACCTGTGACCTGGTCCACCAGGATGCGGGAGGTGATGATGCGGCCGTACTGCGAGAAGAGCTGCTCCATCTCCTTCTGGCTCATGCTCTTGGGCAGGCCGCTCACGTACAGGTTGGCGTCGCGGATGGAGGCCGAGCTGGGCCGGGCGTAGGAGACCTTGGGGGGCGGGGAGGGGTCAGACGGGGGCTCCAGGGCCAACCCCTCCCCCGCCACCTCCTCGCGCTTCGCCCCTCCCCTCCCAGGAGTCCTGGCTCCCAGCCCCCTGCTCTAACCACTAGGCCCCTCTCCGAGCTGGGGACAGGGGCAGGATCTGTGGTGCTTCCTCCCCCCGCCCCGCTCCATGGGTCTGTCTGTGGCTGGGGGGTTACCTGGCTACCCCGCAACCCCTCCCTGTCCTTGAATCCAACCGGCTCCGTCTCCCCATCCCCTTCTCCCCCCTCACCTCATCCCCAGCCCCCACCCCAAGCCTCATCCCCTCGTCCCCCCCAGCCTCCTCCCCAGCCCCCACCCGTCGCCTCCTGCCCCCCGCTCACCTTGATGGTTTTCATCTGCAGTTTCAGCCCGTTCAGGGTGTTAATCGCTTTGTCCGCGTCATTCGGGTCCACGTAATTCACGAACCCGTAACCTAAACTCTGCCCTGGGGGCGGGGAGAGACGTGAGTGGGGGGCACTGAGCCCCCTCCCCCCACCCGCACAGCCCTGCAGGTGTCCCTCACTCCCAACCTGCAGCCCACTGCTACCTCACCCCTGGGCTCCCCCCAACTTTGCCGGTGCCCCTCACTCCCGACCCGCAGCCCCCTACTCTCCCAGCCCTGCCCCCCCACAGCTCTGCCGGTGCCCCTCACTCCCGACCCGCAGCCCCCTACTCTCCCAGCCCTGCCCCCCCACAGCTCTGCCGGTGCCCCTCACTCCCGACCCGCAGCCCCCTGCTCTCCCAGCCCTGCCCCCCCACAGCTCTGCCGGTGCCCCTCACTCCCGACCCGCAGCCCCCGTACCTGTGATCTTGTCCCGCACCAGCTTGCAGGACTCGATCTCCCCGATGCTGCCGAAGAGGCTCTTGAATTCCTCCTGCGTCATGTTCTGGGGCAGGTAGTTGACGATGAGGTTGGTTTTGCTGTCGTCGGCCGCCCCGTTGGCGCTCAGGGGCGGCCCGTTGGGGAGGCCGCTGTTACTGGTGGGGCCGTTGGACACCTGGGTCTCCATGGTGCTGATTATCTGCTGGAGACAAGAGGGGGCAGGGGGTGATCGCTCTGCAGGCAAGGGGCGCTGTGTGGGGCGGGGGGTGATCGCTCTGCAGGCAGGGGGCGCTGTGCTGGCAGGGGATGATGGGTGAGGTTAGGGGGTGCTGTGTGGGGTAGGGATACTGTGTGGGGAGAGGGGACTGATCCAAGGCGGCACTCCATGGGGTTGGGGGGATTCTCCAAGGGGGGGGATCTGGCAGGATGCCCTGGCGTTCGCTGCCACCCCGATGGGTCGCCAAGCGTCCTGGCGCCGAGGTCGGCTCAGCCCCGGGGGGAGGGGCGCGCCATGGACAGACAGACGGACACGCCTTCCCACCCGCGCTCAGGGAAAAGCCAAGGGACCGAGGAAACTGTTGGGAAAACCCGTCCAGGCTGCCAAATCCAGAGCCCATGAAACCCGGGGATGGCGTGACCAAGTGCTGGAGGACAGACGGCCAGGCTGGGGGGCCCAGACCGCTGGGCAGAGGGGGACAGACAGCCGGCCCAGGGGCAGGGGGGAACAGACAGCCTGGCTGGGGGGAAGGGACAGACAGGCTGGGAGAAGAGATGGCCGGGCCAGGGAGGTGGGACAGACAAACAGGCCGCAAAGGGGGGACAGATGGCTGGGCCAAGGGGACAGACAGACGGTCGGGGGGCAGATGGCTGCGCCAGGAAGCGGGGACAGACAGACGGGCCGGGAAGGGAAGACATACAGACAGACAGGCGGTGGGTGGACAGATAGTCAGGCGAAGGAGAGACAGACGGCTGGGCCGAGGCGGGGGACAGACAGACGGGCGGGGAAACAGACAGACAGGTGGGGGGGATAGACGGATGAGGGGACAGACAGACAGGCGGGGGGACAGATGGGCGAGGGGACAGACAGACGGGCAGGGGGACAGACAGACTGACAAGGGAACAGACTAACGGGCAGGGGGGACAGATGGGCGAGGGAACAGTCAGACTGGCTGGGGGGCCGCAGATGGGTGAGGGAACAGACAGACGGGCAAGGGGACAGACAGATGGGCGGGGGGACAGACAGACAGACAGACGAGGGAACAGACAGACGGGCGAGGGAACAGACTGACAGGCGGGGGACAGACAGATGGGCGAGGGGACAGACAGATGGGCGGGGGACAGGCAGACGGTCAGAGAGGGACAGACAGATGGGCGGGGGGACAGACAGACGGAGTGAGGGGACAGACAGACGGCGGGGGGACAGACCGACGTACGAGGGGACAGACAGAGGGGCAGAGAGGGACAGACAAATGGGTGGGGTGACAGACGGTCAGAGAGGGACAGACAGACGGGCAGGGGGGACAGACAGAC